CTTGCCATTGATTTTGGATCACTTGTTGTTCCCTTGTCCCTAGGTTGGTCAACACCACCTCCTTCCACCCCCTCCCCCTCTCCCATGTTCCCCTGGAACCATTGGTCCCATTGTTTTATCCTCCAGACTGTTCATCGGCCTATCTTATCTAGATAGACCTGCAGAGATATTATGCACAAAACATTTGCTTCTTTATATCACTTTTGGATTATTTGATTTGCTCCTCTGATTCAAAGTGTTAGTATATAATAGATGCATGCTTTCAGAAGTATTATTTAACTGAACCCATGCAAATATATATAAGATTAAATTTTGACTCTTATTAAATTTTGCTCTTCTCTTTCAAAAGTATTCTTAAACTATTTCCATAAAAATTTTAAAACAAAATAAGCATGAAATCTGATGTTTCCTTGTGTAGAATGGGGCTGTAATAATTAAGCTAACAATTTACTACTTAAATATTTTAATTTAGGTATTGTATATACTAATTAATATAACAAAATATGTTTCTTTGTATATACCATGAACAAACAGATTTTACCTTGATGGATTTCTTATAAAGGTTTTAATGTGCCTTTTAAAGTATTTTAAGATAAGAATATATTTCACTAAAATGATTTTGTCAGAAGTGAAACAAATATCTCAAGGAAATTCATATAAACTATATGGTTCTTTTTATGTTCTCTAGGTCAAAGTTTGGTTGTCAGGAAAAGGTGAATATGCTAGCAACAGATTCACATAGCAGTTATCATTTGGGGTTGGGATGTAGAATATTGGCACGCTGTCTTATGAAGCTGAACCTTGCAACTTACTTTTGTTTTATTCTTATTACTGTGGGTGCAGAGCTGAAATTAATAAATGTTTGCCAGTGATGATGTCAATAGGGTTTTAAAACCAACAAAAAACACTTTTGTCTCCTCCAGAATTCAAATATAACTAAAAATATGTACAGGGAATGACTAAAATACCAGATTTATGACCAATAAAAATTAGATTGTTGAATGTTGGTTTGATATTAGAAATTGACTTTTTAAAAGCACAGTCCATAATTCTTTGACACAGAGTCACAGAGAGAAATAGACAACTACTCAACTACTGACCTTCCCAGAAAAGCATGTCAGAGAGCTAGGCGGTCAGAACCAGTGCTTTTGTCAGTGGGAGACATGAAAGAGGAAAGAGGCACAGAGATGGCCTTCAACCAGCAACCTCTTTCAAATGAATCAAATGGATTTGTCATTTCTCCTCAGAGAGGAGCCAGTAAGGGGCAAGGGAAAACATACCAAAACCAAAATGCTTACTTCTGATTGGGATATTATCCAAGTCTTGATATTAGCATATGGCATAATTGAATTGAGCACATTACCAAACATTCTCTTTGATTATAGAAGTTCTTGATGAAATGAAGTAAATTACAAGTAAAATATGCTAATTGTGCAGTGTAAAACATTGTCATAGTATTGATATTTACTGTTGGAAATTTCTTAATTATCTAGGCACTTAAAAAAAAACAACCAATTTACAGTCAAACCAAGTCACCAAGAGATTTTGACATGATCCCAGAACTCAAAATGAAAAAAAACATCCCATTAATGATCAAAAGGATATTATATTGCGTGTTGTCAAGCCTGTCCTTCAAGATACTTCTGAGTGGCTTGTAATCAGGCTCTTACTCAACATGTTGACCACGAATACATGATTCAGGATTGTTGTTAGTGGATGCCACAGAAATAAAAGTGGTTGCTTTCTTGCTACAGCAGTTTCTGAACAAATAGCCTTTCATTTGTTTGTTCAAAAAGGAGATTTTATATTCATACTAACATCAGTCTGTTAATGTGGGGTCTTTATGCCCCCACGGTATGAGACAGTTGTTTCTTTACCTTATAAGTGTGCAACTGAATATATTCTTTATTTGAATACTAATTATATTACCTTAGATTGGGAAAAGTTTTATGGGAAAAACTTATGTATGTCTACTTATCCTGCAATATTTTTGCTGTGAATAGGCAATGTTTTCTTTTAATATACTTTAGAAGCAGGACATATCTGTATAACAACTTGAAACAGCGTACTGAAAAATTCAAGCATCAGGAATTTCACATTCAAGCATCAGGTTTTTAGTCGATGAAACTGGTGGTAAACATTTTTTATATATATGAGAAGAGTTGAAAATGTTGGAGATATGGAATTAAGATTATACAGAATTTTTTTCCATTAATTTTTTGAAATCTTCTTGTATTACCTATTATTTTTATTATGTAAACTATGTGTTATTAAAGTAAAAAATTATATTGGCCTAAAGCTTTTATTTTCATTTATGCAGTTATTTGAGTATTGTTATGGCTCTATCGGTAAGAAATACATTCTGAGACTTTGTAGCTCAGGATGTCTTTAACTGAAGTGGCTAGATGGCTACTACCTATTTTTCTACAAATAATGTATAGTGTGCCATGAGTCTTTTACTTAATTTCATCATTTCCTTGCATCACCTGCGTGGCTGCACTATATACATGAATGTCTTATTTGCATAAAATACAGTGATGAATTTTAAACAAGAATTTTAAGAGCACCCACATATCTCAAAATTACCTTTAGAAGAATTATGTTTATTGACTTATGTGCCAATATGGCTTACTTTTTAAATAAATAATTTTATTTGTTTATACTTCACATATCATACAATTTAATCATTCAATTATATTAAGAAGTGTAATATAATCATCACCACAATCAGTTTCAGAACATTTTCTTCTTGTACTCGTTGTTAGCTCCCCATTTCTCCCAACATGCTCTCTCATGCTCCCAGGAAATTATTAATCCAGTCTCTATAGATTTATTTATCCTGAATTGCATATGCAGAAAATCATACAAAGTAAAATCAGGAAGCAAAGAAAAACCAAAAACATTGACAACTAAGAAACAGAGATCCTGACACTCCGTTTGATCCCCCTGCCCAGGACCTGATCAAATGCTTAGGTGGTCCTCCCGAACTAGCAGCCTCACAATTAGTCACCAGAATGACTTAAGGAATTCACAGGACAGAGCCTTCTATGAAAATTGTAGAAACATTTATTGTTCTTAAGAAAAGTATATTTATACTTAGTAGTGTACCATGAAAAATTAGAGTTAGATTCTCTTCCATAAGCTTCTTTACATTCTACAAAGCAGTTCCAGTTCATAGCGACCCTATCATTCGAGTCGAAGTGCCAGTAGGGTTTCCAGGTTGCAAGGTTTTGGGAGCATGCTGCCCTGTCTTCCTCCCTGGAGCAGCTGCCATCAGATGACAAGCACACGTTTTAACTCTTGTGCCACAAGGGCTCCTTGCAGAAACAATAGGATGACTGATGGGAGCTACAGCGTGCAATGCAATAACGTTTGTTTGGGGCCTAATAGCTTTTGAGATATATCTTTACTCCAATTATTCAACACAGTATAATTGGGTGAATTTACCTATTTTTTATATGAGTGTTCCTTTCCAGGATGACTGACTCTACCCACAGTTACATTCTGATTCATAAAATTCATAGGGCAAATAAATCAAGTAAGCAAGGATCTTACCCAGTCTTTTCTCTCATAGTTGTCTTTTTCAGTGCAATGGATTAAGGGGTAGAAAATAAATATGTTCTCTACAGAATTAGCTACTCTATATCTTCTTTTGGAACAAAAAATGAGTACCTGTCATGTATTTCCAATGATAATTTGAAAATGTCAGACATATATACACAGTTATGCTGTGGGCTAAACAAGAGCAAAATCTAGTTGACTGCTTTATGATTTTCACATAAACTACTCTACAATAATTTCTGTAATACTCTGTAAATATTATAACACACATGGCATTTATTTATCTTCCAGATGAAATGAATGATCATCAAAGCACTCTCTCCTACATCCTGATCAACCCATCTCCAGACACCAGGATAGAGCTGAATGATGTTGTGTAAGTTTATCTCATATTTCACATAAGGCATCCATTTCTAGAAAGCTACCAATTCTGCTCATTCTTATGTTTCTATCTAAGCCATTATAGTGTGATATAAATGCTTAGATAGTCTAAGTTACTTTTTTTATAATCACATGTCTTTGTGGTGCATCATTTTATAAAAATGTAGAGTGGTAGAGATGCAAAGGCGGGAGATAGCAGCACATTTTCTGTATTCTGTGGGCTAATATATATTTCAGAAAACATGACCACACACACAGACCAACAAGAGAGCATCTTAAAGGAAAAACCTGGAATACCTCACATTATACTAAATTATACTAAAGTCTAAATATGTCAGAGTTCCTCAAAGACTAAGTAAAGTAAGTTAAGGTGTTTGTTAAGAAATTGGGGAAATAATTTCATTCATATTAAAATATAGCTTGTACATGTGTAATTGTGATCATGTTGTGTAGAATAGGAAGGAAGACATCTTCCTTGACTTCAAGGTACATACAATTAGCAAGGCTATAATTTAAACTGAAAATGCAATGGTAATGTCTAACATGATGTCCCTATTGAATACAGTTTGAAATGAGTGAGCTAGAAGGAAACATTATTTTCTCAGTTTAAGGGGGGAAAAGTATTGTTATTGTAATATATATCGGTATGAACTGACTACAAAGGGTACATAAAATGTGTGTAGTGAGAAAGCAGAGAACCTTCAGGATGCAGGAATGGCTCGATAGAAATGCATTGTGAGAGGTTGCCTAAAGTGCTTCAGTTGGCAGGATTATATAGTCCACTTTGACTAGAGGCTTTGTATAACTTACAATCATGAGGCAAATCATTAGGAAAGCAAATTAGACCTGACTCTGGAGGGTCATAAGTAACAAAATAGTTTAAACAGAACTTTACAGACAGTAGGGAGCCAGGATTTTAAAGACATTTTTCAGTTGTTGGGTAAACTAGAAGAGAAACTTTCAGTGAGTACCAGCTCAAGTGTATGGTGTGAGGCAAAGCTACATGTTGATGCTTACTAAAGCTAGCCAACTTCAGATTGTATTAGTGATATAAAACAAATGCTAACACATTAAAAGTCTCACTGGACTTGGGGCCATGGAGTTAATTTGTATCTATAATCTGGAAAAAAGTATACTAAAGTCAGTGAGTAGGAGGAATAGGGACAGTTTGTGATGTGAAGCACAAATCACATCCTTGCAAGTGGTTCAGAACAGAAGCTACTGATAAAGCTTGTAGAAGCCTGCTTTTTATGAATTGCCACCTTAGTGGGAGGGTGTACTTAGGGTTGACAAGGGGAAAGGGATGGCTTACAATAAAAAAGAACCCTATTACAAGCAATACAATTGATTTGCAAACTGAATACATAATTTCTTTTAGAATGTTCAGCATAAGGTTGGGGCCTGTGGACCAGAGGTTGAATATGTTTCAAGAATTCATCACCTCCTTCCCTCCCCTCCGTACTCTCCTTCTAGTCTTTGGGTTCCTTAATTCACTGCAATGTCTCACAAAACTCACAGGCTATCAAGGTGCAATTGTAGAGATTGTCAAATCCAAATCAAGGGTCAAGTGTCATCATGGAAGCTTCTCCCCACTTATGTGGCTGCAGGGGCTAAGGAAACAAATGAGCAGGTCGGACAATAGGCCACCACAGTATGTTCCCAGAACAGAGGCCAGACAAAGACAAGCCTCATGCTGCCCCGATTGAGGGAGCAAAATTCCTAGAGCATTCCTCCTATATTGAAGGCAGACTACTGGTTAAAAATCTGTATATTAGCAACAACAATAAATGCTGTATCACTGAAGAAAATCCCAATGCAGCAGCATCACAAGTAATAAAGGGATTGTTGTCTGAGGGAAAAAGAGAGATTAATCTGGGTTTTGATATATTGATTAAGATGCTAAGTAGACATTTCTAGAAATCAGGTAGGGATACAGGCCTGGAACTTTGAAGAAAAGCTAGTTTATGTAGAAAATAGTTATTTCTCATCTTCTAAAGCTAAAAACTGGAAGAATGAATAGGGGAGTGTTGACCAGTGCCCAGTGTTGGGGTAAAAAGAACAACACATAACACAAACTTATTAGGAAAAGGTATCAGGAGTATAAAGTTGGCCTAAAGTCTATGTTAAAAGATCCTAATATGCACTTAAGATACAACTAGCAAGAACAATGATGGTGTATTTGGACTTCTTAGAGTGAAGGTTAAAATACATGAGCTTTGGGGAATTAGATGAATATCAATTTTAGCGGGTAGAGTTCTTAAGGGAGCTGTCAAATATGTTCAGTAGTAGTGTTAAACTGATGGAGGATTTTAAGTTAGGGGAAAACATCTTCTATACAGTTCGTGTGGCTTTCTACTGTGCATTTGAGAGCCTTCACTTCATCTATGTCTAGAGCAAACCCAGTTCTATTTTTCTTGCCCCTGTTTATACATGTCTGAGAAATGGCAGCTTTTGCTAATTCTTCTGTCTTCCCCTCGGCTCTCAATGCCTTTAAACATCATTTTTAGATAAAATATGTTCACAATATTTTTTTACATTTAGCTAATTTGTGTTTCATAATAATGTTAAACTTCCTGAGCCTAATACAATTATTTTTCATGATAATTTTGGAAAATTGGGAAGATAAATGTCTTTTGAGTTTATGACTATGTTTACCCATCAAATATGCATGTTTAAAATTTCAAATAATTTCCAGGACAAAAATATGTGAGATAGATAGATAGACATAGATATGCTGTTTTCTGAGAATTATTCTCTCTTGGGGCTGTACTTTTATTAGCTTAAAATTTTTACTAGTTTTCAAGAAAAACATCAGTTTGATTTCTATGACATCAGTGTCAAACTTGGATTTTTAGTAGTGACATAATGAAATTTTATTGTAGCTGGACTAATGATAAATGATCCTGACAAGTAGTATATAAAAGCACAGTGTAAGAAGTTTATTTTATTAGATCTGTATGTGCAGTAGTAATAATAATAAGGGAAGGAATGTCGGCCGCTGTCAGTGACCATAGAGAATAATGGATTGTACACTTGCCTTTTATGTTATCAAAGGATTCATTTCAGAGTTCATTTCAAATGAAGGCACATTAATTTTATTCAAAGAATAATAAATCACTGGATTTTGTGATTCTGCAACGCTTAATGTGCACTACTAGTTTTCTTCATCGATCTATAATACTATTGATATTTAAAGTAATTATGAAGCAGCATGCACAGATAACAAAAATCCAGCTAATAGATCCAAAGATTTTAATCCCAACTTTTATGTAATTGAAGAAAATAGACTTTAGAGCGTGAAATTGCCTTTTCTCATTTTCATTAAGGGTTACAATCTATTAACGTTCTCTCAGCTTTTAAGAGGAAAAGTACAATCTTCATTAGAGTTCGGATTTCAAATTAGCGTCTCTCTTCATTTTTTGGTACCTCCTCCTCACAGCATCATAAAACTATCAAACACTAATTTCAATTGCACTTTGACATGATTTTCTTAAAATGCTGCATTGTATGTTTCACGTTCCTTCCCTCCCACATTTGGGAAAAAGGGGAAACTTCCTCCCTTTAAGCTTAAGGTCCTTCACTTGCTCTTTTTTACCTTCTTTCTGACTGTACCTAACACTTGTCCTTGGTTTCAGTGCCCACTGGTGTAAATATTTAATATGCTCACCTACTAAGTGAAGGTTGGAAGTTCAAGTCTACCCAGAGATGTCTCAGAAGGAAGGCATGATGACCCAGTTCCATAAGACCGGCTACTAAAAATCTATGGAGTACAGTTATATTCTGGGTTGTCATAAATCAGAATAGACTTATTGGCAAGTGGATTTAATTCTCTGATTTAATAGTCTAAGGTCAAACTCAGTTTTAAAAAATTATAATGGTAAATTAGGCAGGGGGTTACATTTCAGATCATCAACTTTGTATTCAATGGCGTACAACACTCATCAAATGTCCCCTTAGTTCCCCATCAGCAGCTCCCAGATTTCTCTGTGCCCTGCTTGTCATGATCACCATTATCTCTACTTCTTGTTCAGCTCTGGGACTGCTTCTCTGCTTCTCTCTCCTCAGGCCTGGAGAAAGAAGCCCGAACGTTAATACCCTCAATAAAGAATTCCTTTCTGTGTCCTTGTCTTTCTTTGTGTTGAATGTTTGCAACTACTTTCTCTCTGTTATACCTGGCTTCATAAATGAAAGCCTGTTCTTCTGAAGGATGTGGGTCAAGTTGTGTGTCGTTTTTATGCCTAAGCCCTTTAATAATGTTCTACATGTGCTGATGCTGAAGATGGAGAGACTGAGGATACCATTTGAAAATCTAAAGATTTTGTATCAGTTAAACTTGAAAATAAATACAATACTTAATTTTGGCACGTGAATGTTTTCTAGACTGCTAACCAACAGGTGGGTGGTTCAAACCCACCAGCTGTTTCTCGAAATAAGAGATGAGTGCATCTGCTCTCATAAGGAGCGCTGGTGGCATAGTGGTTACATGTTGGGCTGTGATCCACCAGATCAGCAGTTAGAAACCACCAGCCTCTCCTGGGAAAAAAGATGGAGCTTCCCACTCCCATAAAGGGTTACAGTCTTGGAAATCCAGATGGGTGGTTCTACTTTGTCCCATAGGGTCTCTATGAATTGGCATCAACTCAATGCCAGTGAGTGAGTGAGTGAATGAATATCTGCTCTCATACAGATGGATAGCCTCTAAAACCTTAGATAGTCTTTATAAGTTGGCATGAAATTGATCTCTTTGCCACAACCTGGATTTTAGGTTCCTATTTTTTTTTCAGTCAATAGGTTTGCATGAATTGCACCAACTAGGTACATGGGGAAGATCAGTTTCTTTACCCTGTACACTTATATAAGAAATATTTAAACAAAAACCAAATTAATTTAAATGTTAATTACACATTGTATTCCAGAAAATATTTTCCCAAACCCTTGGCTACTCCCGGAGCCAAATGTTCTGGTTTATGTTTTGAAATTTTTTTTAAAAAGGGAAAGATTTTGTTTCTGTCAGCTGGGCTATGAAAGCGTCACTACTGGCGGGTTCCCCCTGCTGACCTTACACTTAACAGCCCAGTGCGTAAGTCGCTGTGCCACCAGCCGTCGCGTTTATAAAACTATTAACGCTAGAGAAGCATGTCGTTGAGGTGGTACCACACTGGTGGTACTGCAGGATGAGCATTCGCCTGCTAACCAGTCAGTGCTTTAAGGCGCCACTTGCTTGCTGCGTCAGGGAGGTAGCAGGCTACCTGCTTGTCAAGAGTTCCAGCCTCGGAAACCCAGTACTGGTTCGCTCTAAGTTGGATTCGATTCAAGGGCAGTGAGGGTGGTTTGGATGTGGGGTCATGGTTGTTAGGCGTTGTCGACTTTGTTCAGATTCATGGCCATGTTAGGAAGTACAACAGAAGAAAACATTTCCTGGTCCTGCACTTTCTTTGTCACATTTGTCCATGTGTGTGAGCAGTGTTGGGGCCCCAATGTCAACCCATTTCCTTGAAAAACTTAGCATACTTAAAGCTGAAGATATGATAGAAATCTTACTTAGATAAAATTCTTATATTTTTAACAATAAAAAAATTGAGCAACAGAATAATCATGCTAAGATTTAGATCTCCTTGATGATTAAAATTTTTTAATGACATGAAGAACAAACTTAAAAGTAAGCAAACAAAAATACAACTAAAATAAAGAATAAATCATCGGTAAGCTAAGGCTATTAAATGGATTATAACTGAAAGAAAATGTTGTTTTCTTAAAAAATTTTTCAATATCATAATCTTATCAGGTATAGAAGAGATAATACTTGATGTGTAAAATACCATCGGCCTACTACACAGTGAGTCATGTCAGTGCCCCTCTGGAGACATCGTTTAGATGAGCTGGAACAATGAATGGTTAAGATGAATTACATGAGTCATTATTTACCAACTGTTTCTTTATTATTATTCTTTTGTTTGACTAGGTATTTAATCCGACCGGATCCACTGGTATACCTTCCCAACAGCGAGCCCAGTCGGAAGAACAGCATCTGCAATGCCACAGGACATGACTCCAAGGAAGAAACTCAGCTCTGACGCACAGAGACATTGAGATTCCTGCCAGGACCTTGCTCAGAACAGCTCTCGCTGTCGAACAATTGTGCTGCTGACAAAACGCAAACTCGATTGGAATGTGTTCATTATCATATATTAAACAGAAAGTTCTTACAATGATAGACTATTGCCAAATGTAATGATACTCTTCCCATTTTAATATTTATAATATAAGTGGAATGATTTTGGAAAATGAAATTAATAGGTAATACTTTAAATATTATAATTATGTGACAATAATTAAATTAAATGAAACCAATTTTAAAATGATTAATACTTTATGAAACTAAATTAAAATCCAATTACATTTGGTACATCAAAATGGATTTAGAAGATTATTACTTCTCTTAATATGCCATATTACATTGCTTGAACTTGATGTTTTATAAAGAATACATCATCTTATATGTCTAGTCTTCTCTACAAAGAGATTAACAAATTATGTGGCTGAATTTTTGTGCAAGAATCAAAGTTTGCTTTAGAATACAAAACTGTGTCATTTTATCCTTTTATTTTGGTGTTTTTTCATATGGTACATTCATTTTAGAATTTGAGATACTCATAGCATGTTTTATTACAATGAAGAAACCAAAATATAAACAAGAAGAAGTATTAAGTACCTGAACATTTTAAAACTTCATGTATGACAAACATTGTATGGCCAAGAAGTGCGCTCTATGCATTGTTCTCCTAAAAGAATGCCAAGCATGGAGAAGAGAGAGGCTTTCCTTGCATTTAGTGATTTATGTATAATCCAAGCATTGGCACACTAACTGTTTTTCTGGAAACATGCAGCTATGATTTCCATTAGACTCCTGGGCATTAACGTTTTCATGTATTTATATAATATATTCATGAGAAAGATGCTCTACAACTTATAGTAGCAAAATCATGCTTTTTAAATGAAATTCAAAACGCTGACAGTCCTTTTTTATGCTTTCCACATGGAAATAATGCAGGAGGCCTGGTGATGCAGCGGCTACGCCCTCTGAGGCTAACCAAAAGGTCAGCAGTTTGATTCCACTGTCTTCTCTGAGGAAGCAAGATAAAGACTCACCCCCTGCCCCACCCCCCACCCCCTGCCCCACCCCCGTCGTCAAGTTCCTCCACCTCACCGCAAGCCTCCGCTGGGCTTCTGGGCTTCGTAACTCTTTCCAGGAGACAGAATGCCTTGTGTGCTCTCCTGTGGCGTGGATGGTGGGTTTGAACTGCTGACCTTGTGGTTTGCAGTCCAATATTATAGGAACCTTTATGGAGTAGTTTACTCTATCGTAGTCTACTCTGACGTATAGGTATCCACTTGAAAACATCCCAACAACAATGAAAATAGCCAGACAGGCAAACATGCTATGTTAGATTATTTAACTCTGAAAGATAATATAGAAGAGCTATATTTTAGCATATTAAGATGCATAAAATTTAAATATGTAATTTTATTTTAAATTTAAAATGAATGATACAGTATTTGACGTAACTGTTAAGTACATTTGCAACAACATACCAAGATAAATTGATTCTTGATGGCATCAATGATAATTTTTGTTTGTGGGTTTTTTTCCCACTATAGAAACAGAGTAAAAGTGCAAAAGAATGTGTACCCAGTACTTAAAGTGCGTTAAGGTTCCAATGGGGGAAATATTGGTAAATTAAAAGAGAGATTTTTCTCTACTTTGGTATTTTTCATTATTTTCGAATTTGAGATTATGCTTTATTTCAGCAAAAACTGTATGTATGAAACTAGAAATAAACATATTATCTTTACCTTTCTTAGAGAAGCAGATTAACTGAAAGGAGCATAGAATTACTTTAAAAGATCAAGCTTAATGATGTCCCAACAATTGTATAAAAAGTTTAAATGCAATATATAAGTTGTAAGTTTATTGTATAACTTGGCTTAGAGAATATGATACATCTATTTCTGTTTCACTTATTTTTAGCATTTTATACAATTCTATCCCAATTTCAATAATTTCCTCTAAAACAGAGCCAATCTTTAATCATATCAAATTAAATAAGTAGAATTTATAACACAGTGATTAAAATTAGAAGGACGAGGGGTACCACAAAAAACCAAAAAGGGATTTTTTTTTCAAAGCTATGTATTTAATTTTTTTTTTTTACAAAATGACCTTATCACTTTCAAAGTACTCTCCATTAAGCTTAATACATTGTCAAATCTGGGATTCCGTTCTTGGAAACATTTTTCAAACTCATCTGTTTGGATGACTGACGGCACCTCCATTGTTTATTTCTTCACCTCTTCTAGTCCTCAAATCGCTGTCCTTTCATGTCCCTCTGCATCTGCAGAAACAAAAAGAAGTCCCATGGAGCGAGGTGAGGTGATTAAGGTGCATGGGGCAAGAGAGGCATGCTGACTTTTGCCCAAAACTGGAGCACTGAGATGGCTGTGTGAGCAGGTGCATTGTCGTGGTGGCCACAAATCGGGCCTTTTTGGGTGCACATTACTATGCTATCTTCTCAGAATCTCTAAACAGAAAGTGTGATGAACAGAACGAGCTGGTGGAAAGAACTCCAAATACACTAAGAGTCAACATTTTGGTCCGTTCCAGAAGTTGACAGGCATCCAGAATGAGGTTTGTCATCAATTGACACTTCACCTCTTTGGAAATGAGAAAAGCACTCATGCAATTGAATTTTCCCGTAGCACTCCTTGTAAGCTGTGTTCAGCATCACAGCAGCTTCGATGGGATTTTTCCTTGGTATGAAACAAAGTTTCAAAGCTCCATGCTGTTCTCTTAAGTTGACCATCACAAAAAAATGAGACTTGAGCAAAACTGCTTTCACGAAAAAATTCACTATGACCAGGGCAAACCATCCCAGGTGACACCACTGGGTGCACAAACTCAGAGCAAGTTGCTTCAGGCTCACCTAGCAGGAAAATGCATACTCCACAAGCTACGTTCTGCCCACCACATTTCCAGTTTGGGGTATTTAGGGGGGGTGTCTTGGGGGGTACTTCCTTGTATGATTTAAAACAGAAAGATAGTATGCATATGAATGTATATATGTTATAAATACAAATAAAATATATTTGACAAAGACATAGTCACATACATTTTCAAAACAAGGCAGAATTGAGCTAATTATATATAATGGAGGACAATAATGATTTCTAATGGTTTTCTTAAATATGTTCACATCAGTAATCCAATATGAGGTCTCTTTCCATTGACATTCCTTATGCCATTGTAGTTATTTTTAGAAATGATTGTAATAGTTTACAAATCATCAGTTTCTCGTGGGATCTTCAGGTTAGCATTTCACAGCGTGACAGTGTCAACAACACTTGAATTTTAAGCTAGAGAAGATTATATTTCCTATGAAACTAAATATCATTTGATAAATTCTTAAATAGTTATTTTTTATTATGAACTTTGGTCCAAACAGTATTTGACAGAATTATATCACTTGCTTTACTAATGATAGCTTATTAGCTTTTCTGTTACTTAAAGAATAAGAACATGATTATAATAGCCTTTTAATAAATTGTTGCCTTTTAAAAATGATTATACCTGCACATGAAAATAACATGAAGTCAACAATCATCCTCGTAACCCTATGGCAGGTTTCATTTAGTGTCCATGTACCATTTTGCTACCAATTACATTGAATTGCTTTAAAACAAACAATAAAATTATTTCTAATGATGAAAGCCCCTGTTTTTGTTTTTGTTTGTTGCCAAAATTGTAGCTGTCTAGACAAGTAATATTTTTAGAGGAAATATCGAAAATATACCAATTTAATATTTTAAATGGAAATATGAAGATCTTTTTTCACATATCTTTTATTTTATTTGGGGGGGGGGCTCTTACAACTCTAATCACAATCCACACATATACCCATTTTGCCAAGCACATCTGTACATATGTTGTCATCATCTTTTTCAAAGCATTTTCTTTCTTTTCTTTCTACTTGAGCCCCTGGCATCAGCTCCTTATTTTCCCCCCTTGATATCTTATAAATTATTCTCTTTTTTTTAGCCTGTCTTACGCCAACTGCTGTCTCATTTCACCTACTTTTCTGCTGTCCGTCCCCCTGGGATGGGGGCCAAATGTAGATCACTGTGGTCAGTTCTCCCTCACCCACCCTCCTGACCCTCCTGGTATCACTGCTCCCCTTATTGGTCCTGAGGGGTTCATCTCTTCTGGATTCCCTGTGTTGCAAGCTCTTATCTGTGCCCATGTACATGTTCTGATCTAGCCAGATTTGTAAGATAGAATTGGGGTCATGGTAGTGGGGGGCGGGGTGAGAGCATTAAAGAACTAGAGGAAGGTTGTGTTTTTCATTAGTGCTGCATTGCACCCTGACTGGCTCTTCTCTTTATTTTTTATTGGAAGCAGCAATAATAAATAAGTGGGAATTGAATTTCTGTTAACATGACAGCATTTTCATAATTACATGGTAGGAAAGCAAAGAGCACCACGTAAAGAGAGAAATGAAGGAAGTGGGATAGGAAGGGATGAACAGAGAAAAGAGAGAACATAGGAAAGGGGAAGTTGAAGGGGAAAAGGAGGATAGGTGCTACAATACCGCTTTGGTTTTGTTAAGGAAGCACTGATTAGACGTCCTCCCGGCCCCCTTTTTTTAAGGTCACATTGACTTCTGAATTCAAGCAAATAGAGTGCACTCATTTCTTCCTATTATTTACACTTAAGTGTATCCACAAATTCTGCTTATGTAGATAAAACAAAAACCAGAAGCCAAACCCATTGCCATCGATCGAGCTGATTCCGACTCATAGCGACCCTATAGGGCAGGATAAAACTGCCCGCAGTGTTATCCAGATTGTAATTCGTTAAGGGAATAAAAAACCCTTGTCTTTCTTCCAAAGAGCAGCTGGCTGGTGGTTTTGAACTGCTGGCCTTAAGGTTAGCAGCCCAATGCATAACCATTACAGACAAGAAAACTAAGGAAAGTAAAGAGAAGACAGACCAGGAACCAGGAGTCTCATGATAGCGGTGAGTTTCTGGGTCTCCTTCCCGCATCCTGCACATTCTTTACTGGGAACCACCGAGAGGCACACACAAAAATGGCCTGGGAAAACCTCGAGGGTCGTCCACAAGGATTCTCTCTTGCCAGCCTTTGCAGTTTCTGGAGTATCAGAG